TCTCACTGTGTCTCTCTATTAAAAAAATAAGTAAAATCTTAAAAAAAAAAAAAAAAAGAAGAAGAACATGGGTCATGAATGTCTGGTTCTCTGTTGAATACATAACACATAGTAGGTGCTGAAAAAATATTCAGTCCGTGGAGACTGACACTCGGTCAGCTCCTGCCCCAGGAGCTGAAATCTACCCCCCCACCCCGACGTCAGAGGTGGCTTCTACTCTCCTTTCTCTTTCTATCAATCTATCCACTGGAGGTACCTCATGTAAGTAGAATTCTATAGTATCTGCCCTTTCATTTCTGGCCTACGTCCCTTAACAGAATGTCTCCAAGATTCACCCATGTTGTAGCATGTGACCATGTCCCTCCTTTGAAGGCTAAATAACTGTGCCCTGAATGGACAGATCCCACTTTATTTATCCATTTATCCATCTGTCGATGGACACCTGGGCTGCTTCACCCTTTTGGCTACTGGAAATAACGCTGCTAGGAGCCTGGGTGCGCGAATGTCTGTGGGGAGTCCCGCTTTCCGTTCTTTTGGGGATATTCCCAGAAGGGGAATTGCTAGATCACAGAGTGTCTCTATTTTTAATTTTTGAAAAGGCCTCATCAAGCTGTATTTCTTTTTTTTTTTTTTTCCCTTCCTTTTCTTCCCCCACTTCCAAGAATAGCCCACTAACCTCAGCGGCCAATTCTACTCTACGTTTCCGGAAGGCCTCTGGGCCTCACGTCATTCTCTCACGAGCTGAAAAGCAATTTTCCCCCTTTTTTTAAACTTCAGCTGCAGAAATCACCTGACTGAAAACTGCAGAAAAACCCTCATCCCACACAGGAACGGAAGGGCTTAACCAGCCCCGCCTGTTGGCTGATTACGGGCTTTTACTAGGATTCTTGGCATACGCTCTAAGTGCAGCTCAACCTTACTTTTTTATCAAGTGTTTGGAAACAAGCTCATAGGTTAGGTTTCAGAGCCTTCGCCTGGAGGTGACAGCTTTCTACTCCTACCTGACAGATAAAGCAAGTTAGAACGTCACGGATCCGAATTCGGCACAACGGTAGCTTTGCCCGGACAGATCCCAGCTCCACCGGATTTCTTTTATCACTATGGTCAGTGCCCTCTAGGTAAAATGCCATCCCAGCCGTAATTTCCGTTCACAGTTATGGCTCCAAACCCTGACTCAGCATAGAAATAGCTGAGGTGCTTTAAAAATACATAAACACAGATAGGGAGACAGCCAACGTCCCCAGCTCAGTCCGTCCCCAGCTCCGTCCGTCCGGTCATAGTCCCCGGGGTGGAGCCTGGTCACTGGCAGCCCTTTATGTTATTTTTCTTCAAGATTTTATTTACCTCTTAGAGAGAGACAGAGAGGGCGCTCGAGCAGGGGGAAGCAGCAGAGGAGGGGGAGGGGCAGGCTCCCCACTGAGCACTGGGGGTTGATCCCAGGACTCTGAGATCATGACCAGAGCCGAAGGCAGATGCTTATGAACACAGCGAGGCACCGAGGCACTCCTAGAAGCACCTGAAAGCTCCACCGATTGTCAAGTGTAGCTCGAGCTGGGCACGCCCTCCTTAAGAAGGCAGGAAGACCTGCGGTCTGTCCTTCTCTAAAAAGAATATTTTCAATGGGCTTTAACCTGACGAGAGGCACCCCTGAGCTCGGGGCGTGGAACCCCAACATTTAAACAGGAGAAGCAGGAGAGCACAAATGGAGAGCACGGCCTTGTCTGATGGGTAGGTGCGGCTGATGCCAGTCACCCGCCGTGCAGTGGGGCACGGGGGTGCTGCTCCAGTTCAAGACTTTTGCCTGATGGGATTCACATAGCGGATTCAAGGGGTTCAAAAAAACCCCTCTCAACGGAAGGCAAAATTTTCTGTCCTTCAGGGTGTTTTTCTGGAAAGGGTGCCCCATATTCTTGTCACCTCATCTCAGGTTCCGTCACACGCCCCTCACCTCCCCACATCCTCCCCTGCCCCCCACCGTCAGTAATGCAATCATTAAAAATAAATGGGGCACCCGGGTGGCTCATTGGGTTAAAGCCTCTACCTGTGGCTCAGGTCATGATCTCAGGGTCCTGGGATCGAGCCCTGCATCAGGCTGTCTGCTCAGCAGGGAGCCTGCTTCCTCCTCTCTCTCTGCCTGCTTCTCTGTCTACTTGTGATCTCTGTCTGTCAAATAAATAAATAAAATCTTAAAAAAAAAAATAAAGAGCTAGGTCCATCCACATTTGCACTGACCTAGAGGGACTGGACACTGTCACCTGTTAATGAAACAAAAGCCACTTTTTCAGGGTGGTGTCCACAGAATGATCTGCCAAGCCCCCTGAGAGCAGGGGCTGCCTGTTTTGTTCCCAGCCATATTCCCAGCACCAGGAAACTGTGTCTGGCCCGGAGAAAGGGCTTCAGCCCCACTTCCGGAATGAATGAGTAACTTCCCAAAAGAGCTGAATCCTCTATATGCGGACGATGTTTGTGTGAATGATGAAAAAAGAGTGAAATGAGGCATATCAGGATGTTACAGGCAGTGACCTCGGGGAGAAGGGACTGGAAGGGGGGTGAGAAAGAGAGTAACACTGCCTCTTAAGAACAGTTTGTGGTTGGGACGCCCGGGTGGCTCAGTGGGTTAAAGCCTCTGCCTTCAGCTCAGGTCATGATCTCAGGGTCCTGGGATCGAGTCCCACATGGGGCTCTCTGCTCAGCGGAGAGCCTGCTTCCCCCTCTCTCTCTGCCTGCCTCTCTGCTTACTTGTGATTTCTCTGTGTGTGTGTCAAATAAATAAAATCTTAAAAAAAAAAAAAGAATAGTTCGAGGTTACTGAGTGCTTGTCTTGCATGAGGGACGGTGCTCAGCACTGATTATATCTTGTTCTCATCTTAGCCACACAACAATCCTTCAAGACGTCCTCGAGTGGTTATACCCATTGTACAGCTGAGAAAATCTAAGCACACAGATCTTGCTCAAGGCCACAAAGCCCAGACCCAGGCCCTGGCTCCCCAGCCCGTGCATTTAACCCCTCTGCTCTTCTGACTCTCCATCCAAACTCCTCTTTTGGTTGTAACACTCACTGTGACCAGCACATGCTACTTGTGTCCTAAAATCTTAAGTAAAATATAAAAGTGTCAGGGCTTTCCTTCTGGGCACTGGATGTCCCCCCTGGGGTCCCTTCCTGATCTAAATGTGCAACCTTAAGTCCTTCCCTCTCAACAGGGACTTGGGAACTGATACTCCATGCTTGGATCTTATCTCAGTTCAGCAGAGTTCCCACTGCCTAATCCATACCATTTAAAGATTCAGTGGAATCATGGTCTCTGGCTTTACCTGAAACCTTGGGGACAGTGGGACCCGTGGACAGCAGCCATCCCAGGCTGCAACAGATAGGACTGTCATACCTGCTTAGGGCAGGCGGGCCCTGACTGGATGCAGACTCTCTGGGTGACAGGCCCTAAGAAAACCCAGAACCAGCACGCCTCAGAGGAGTCTTGGAGCATGGAGCATTTGCAATCTTGGTAACGAGAAGCAGTAAGGCCGTGCAGAGGAAGCCTTGCATGCAAGGATTTTTTTCAGCCATGGCCTTCTTTCTCGGGAGACCAGCAGCTAAGGTGTTAGAGTAGATCCGAACAAATTAGGCTCCCGATTACTCTGGAGCGCCAGTCCTCAGTGTGAGCTGAGCACTCCCCAGATGTTTGGGGAAATGCAGACCCCCTCATCTTTGGATCGAGGAAGACCAGAGCTTAAATCTTGACTCTACCAGTTGGAGACTGGGTGGACTGCTTAGGTTTTAAGCCTCAGTCCCCAGCCTTATTAGCCAATGAGGATGATGCGGACCTGACTGGGTGAATTACGATGCGTATTAGCAATAAGGTGAGTGAAGCCCTGCTGGGGACAGGACACAGGAAATAACAACCATTACTTCTATTAACTTGACGCAGTGAGAGCCAGGTTCTAAAATGGCTCCCAATGACCCCTAACTCCCCGTATTCACATACTTTTCTAACCCCCTCCCCTGGAATGTGAGCTGGACCCAGTGCGTTGCTTCTAAGGAACAGAGGAGTAAAAGTATAAGGATGCCATTTCTAAGATTAGGTCAGTACAAGACTCCAGCTTCCGTCTTGCTCTGCTGCCCACTCTGATGGAAACCATCCGCATGTTGTGAGCTGCCTCCTGGAGAAGCCCACGTCGTGAGAAAAAGAGGAAGGTCACCAGCCAACATCCAGGAGGGAATGGATGCCTCCAATCCAATGCACCCTCGCTGTGGGTAACTGAATCCTACCAACCACTATTACGCAAAGAAGCTTGAGGACAGGTCCTTCCCCAGCTGAGCCTTAAGATAAGACCGCAGCCCAGCCAATACCCTGACTGCAGCCTTGGCAGAAAACCTCAGCCAGAAGCACACAGAGAAGCTGAGTAGGGGTTCTTGACCTACAGGAACCATGAGCTTAATAAATGTTGCTTTAAGTCATTATATTTGTTCCACAGAAGTAGATAACTAATACACCCTGAAAACAATAGATTAAATTCAACCAGAGCAGCACGTGAAGCCTTTTAAAGTCCTCCTCTCCAAGTTAGGTCACGTGTTTCTCACGTTTCCCTATAAGGCTATAAGCTACTTGAATCACCATAGCGTCTAAATGAACAGGGTGAGCACTTAATTATTTTAGACTTGATTTTACTTCATTGTATAGTCTCACTGAATCTTACAAACCTATGAAGCATGTACTGTGATTGCCCACATTCTAGAGATGAAGAAACCGAGACTTAGAGGGGCCAAGCAACATGCCCCAGGTGTCAGCAATTATGTAGAAGTGCCAGGAAATCTGGCTCTAAAATTTACATTTGTAATAATTATGCTTTATGGTTCTATGAATCTTGCCCAACTCCACAAATGGCAAGTGGATTCACACCCAGGTAGCTGAACACCAGACATGACCATCTCCAGACACCTTCTATCTCTAGGACAGTAAGTAGACTATGTCTCACCTGGAGTCCATCAGGGTCCCACTACCTACCTGTAAACACTAAGCTGGCATTTTCAAGTTCTTCTTGGGGAACTTTGAAGCTGAAGGATTCATTGTAGAAAGGATCAATTGTGCCTCTTAAGAAGGATGTCTTCTTTGTTTTCACAAGTTTGAGTCCATGTACCAGCTGGATTTTCACAAAAGGGTCTGAGAATTGGAAACAGAATTAAAGAACACTGGAGCTCATGAAACTCAGTCCACCCATCCAACTTCCCATCTGTCTGATAACCCAACCACCTACCTATTCTTTCTTCTCTCTTTTTTTCCCTCATTCCACCAATCTTTCATTCCATCAGTCCAGATATCCACCCCTTCTTCCATTCATCCATTTTCCCATCCATCCATCCATCCATCCATCCATTACCCATCCCTCCTTTTTCCCGTCCAGCTGCTTATCTGCTCATCCCTATCTCTCTTCCTCCAACCATCCAAGACTTATTGAGCTCCTCCCATGTGTCAGGCACTGTGTTCATTTTACAGATGAAGACACTGAAGACTCAAGATAGGAAATGGTCTGCTTAAGATCAGACTAGTGGAAGAAAATCCAGACCCAGAGCCTGCCCTGGTTTTTTTGTCCCTAGAAATCCATTATCATGTCAGTGAGCCCATAACTCTGTACACGGGAGTATAGAGATGACAGATTAGTGACTATCATTCTTGGATCGCTTTACAGTTACAAAGAGATTCATGCACACTATCTAATTTAATATTTGTCTAAACAACCCCATGAGATGGATACTGTTGTTATCTCAATTTTTCAGATGGAGAAATTGAGGCTTAGGGAGATTAAGTATCTTCCCCAAGGCCACATCATTTGTGAGTAGTAGAACGAGGACTTGGTTCCAGGCAGTTTGACTCCAGAACCTTTTATCATTTGATTCTATTGCTTCCCCCATCGTGGTGAGTCTGAAACTCTCCAGCCTTAACATCATTCCCTCCACTGACCCCTCCCAAATCTCTATTTTTATAATGTGGTTTCTGAGAATGCAAGTTGTCTTCTAGAGGCAGCTGTCACTTTACAGCAAAAGTAATTTATTTTGGCTACTGTCCTCAGAGGAGACAGTGGTTTCTCCAAGGAGCTGAAGAGGTCCCAGAGACCCTGGCTACTTTCAGGATAATATCCTTTACTGTCATGGGAGAAGATCCATACAGATGGAATGTAATCTGTTCCATTTCATGAAAAGTCATCTTTGAATTGGTTTACTATAAAGTAGACATTTTAAATACAACAGTCTTTTCAGAGCCGGGATTTATAAAGATTCAAGGTACACTTGAAATGAGCTGGTGGGGGGGAAAAAACACCTCAGGGCCTGTCCACTGCTCTGGCAAATGGGAATGGGTGGTCGGTGCACACTGGCGACACCCGGAGCCTGACATCTCCATTGCAGACACAGCAGCTGGAAGGGCGGGTCCCTTCCTTGGGGGCTTCGTGTGCGCAGAGGATCTGGAGGTCAGTACTGACCACACATGGTCTCAGTCAAATCCCCCATTCGAATGGGGTTACTGAGATACCATCATTTACCTGCCTCACCCTAAGAGACATCTGATCATTTATTTTCCCTCTTGATCCAACATCCTAGTTCTAAATGCTATCTGTTTATCCTTGCGGGGTTTTAGTAATAGTATCCAGAATGCAGAAAAAAAAAATTTGGCCCTGGGTCAAACAAACACAGATGCCTCGTTAAGGAAATGGGGGAAGAAGGGGGTCGCACCGTACCTGAACCTTGGCTCACATCTGTCTGAAGAAGTTGCTTGGCTCGAATGACATCAACATTCAGTCTCCCAGCACTCGGGAGGTAATTCAGTGACAGAAGCAGCTCCCCCAGCTCTACTTCATTCTGCAGAGAAAGGACATGGTCGGGAAGTTGCTTTTTTCTTGTATTCCTTCTTGTACCTACTGGGCAGGAAAGTGACTCCAGCAGGTCACACACGGGCTTCTGTAGGTAGATCAGTTGACAACAGGTACCTCTTTCTTTCACTTCTTTTAGCCTCTGCCCCCAGTTATCCCATCTATCTCAGAAAGTTCTTGGGGCACACAGGTGGCTCAATCAGTTAAGAGCGCAACTCTTGGTTTTTGCTCAGGTCATGATCTCCCTTTCATGAGATCGAGCCCCACGTTGGGCTCTGTGGTCAGTGCAGAGTCCACTCCAGACTCTCTCCCTCTCCCTCTGCCCGCCCCCTGCTCATGCTCTCTCTCTCTCTCTCTCTCTCTCAGATGGGTAAATTAAAAAATCTTTAAAGAAAAAAAGTTCTTCCTGTTCTTGGAATGCTTAACAGCAGCAACAACATACTAACAACAAAACTTGCATAATGATAACACATAAATGTGACACGTCAAGTTCTGTGCTCAGCACTTTATATGTAATAACTAGTTCAATCTTCATAATAAATCTGTAAGATGTTAGAATTACTCTTATTTAGTGATAAAACTGAAGATCAGAGCAGTGAAATGATATGTCCAAGGCCACACAGCCAGAAAAAGTGGTAGCCCTTGCATTTGGACCCAGGGAGGCTGATTCCAGATAATCTGACCATTATCCTCCTCTGCCTCCAGGCAGGATAAACTGGGAGGGGGAGAACTGGGGGTCAGAACACCCTGCAGGGCAACTATGTGGCTGAGAAATCTATTCTCAACCTGCAGTCCATAACAGAGCCCATGTTTCCCGTCTCACTGCACCAACACTCAGCCTGTGACACCGCTTGTTAAAAAAATACTCATTCCATGGCTCAGGTCATGATCCCAGGGTCCTGGGATCGAGCCCCACATCGGGCTCCCTGCTCAGCAGAAGGCCTGCTTCTCCGTCTCCCTCTGCCCCTCCTTGTGTTCCCTCTCTTGCTGTGTCTCTCTCTGTCAAATAAATAAGTAAAATCTTAAAAAAAAAAAAAAATACCCATTCCCTGGATAACAACACTACCACACTGGTGGGAAATTCACCCAGGGCATGATTCCTTCCACACTTCTAAAAGTACCACGAAAACATGAGGCCCCCACTTCTTTTTCCCATTTTTAAATTTATTTATTTATTAAAATATTTTATTTATTTATGACAGAGAGAGATAGTGAGAGAGGGAACACAAGCAGAGGGGAGCCGGAGAGGGAGAAGCAGGCTCCCCGCCAAGCAGGGAGCCTGACATGGAGCTTGATCCTAGCACAGCGGGACCATGACCAGAGTTGAAGGCAGATGCTTAATGGCTGAGCCACCCAAGTGTCCCTCTGACCCATTAAAAAAAAATTACTGTAAAAAATTGCAACCAGGGGAACCTGGGTGGCTCAGTGGGTTAAGCCTCTGCCTTCGGCTCAGGTCATGATCCCGGGGTCCTGGGATCGAGCCCCGCATGGGGCTCTCTGCTCAGCAGGGAGCCTGCTTCCCTTCCTCTCTGCCTGCCTCTCTGCCTGCTTGTGATCTCTCTCTGTCAAATAAATAAATAAAAATCTTAAAAAAAAAAACCAAACTTGCAACCACATACAAATTACACAGGGCACTGTAACAAATCTCCATATACTCACCACCCAGTGGTAACAATGATCAGAATACTTATTTTGCTAAAGGCTGCTTCATTGTGTCTTAGTCTATACTTGTCTTGGTTCGAATAACAAAAATACCATAGACTGGGTGGCTTATAAACAACAGACATTTCTTTCTCATAGTTCTGGAGGCTAGGAGTCCAAGATTAGGGTGCCAGCATGGTTGGGTGAGGGCTATCTTCTGGGTAACAAACTTCTCGTTGTGTCCTCATTTGGTGGAAGGGACTAGGGACCATTGTGGGGCCTTGTACGTAAGGCACTAACCCCACTCAGGGGGGCCCCACCTTCGTGACCTAATCACTTCCCAAAAGTCCTATCTTGCAACACCATCACATTGGACGTTAGGATTCTAACAAACGAACTTTGAGGAGACACAATCCTTCAGACCACAGCATATCTACACACTGACTTGCAAAAAATTTTAGTTGAATATTTTAAACCACGTCCCAGACATGATGTCATTTTACCTGTATATCCTTCAGGGTGTATCTCCAAATGGTAAGGACATTAAAGCAAGTATTTTTAGCAGGGGACATTTCCAATCATATTCAAAAGAAAGCACAAAAGTACAAGGAAACTCACTCAGATTCAATAATTATCATCTCACAGCCAATCTTGATTTACTTATACCCTCATTCAACTCCCCATACCATTGTGAAGTAATACCCAGACATAAAATTTTTCTGTAATATTATATATATAAATACATATGTGTGTGTATATATATATATATATATATATAAAAGATCTGATTGATCTTTTATATATATATATATATACACACATATGTATTTATATATAATATTATATATAATATATATATATAATATTATATATATCCACCAGCTATTCAGTCTTTGTCCATCCGTCCATCCATCCATCCATCCATCCACCCACCCTCCCATAATCTCTATCCATCCCTTTCGTTATCAGTCATTCCAGCAAATTTATGCCAAGTGGCAGCTCTAGAATTTGGCACACAATGGATACTCAACAAACATGGGCTGACTAGATCCCCAGTCAAACCAAAAGATTTCTGTACTGAGTTTGGTCCCCAAACAAGAAACAATCTCATACATTAACTCAGAGGTTGCAAACTATCAGCCCGTAGATGTGTTTTATTTGGCCCACATCAAGCTTAAATGTAATTACCTGATAATTATTTTAAAATTCAAGAATCAAGATATCTCACACGTTCAAAAAAAAAAAAAAAATCTAGATTTCCTGCCTTGCTTGAAAAATGAGAAGGTCCAGCAAGGCTGGGCCCACATTCCTACCTGGCAACATCTGGTCAGAGCATAGCGTCCCCTTATGATGGGAATTGCCTCCTTCATTTCATTAGGTCCCCATTTATCCTTCACTGCTTTACATATGAGCTCACAGGTTTTTCAAGACAGAAATGGTGAACTCAGTGTCCTGAGCGATCGAGGAAATTCCAAGCCCCTATACACAGCTTCTAGGGGTTTCCCCCTTGTTCATGAAGGCCTGGAAGATGCTGTATCCTCAGGGCCTGACCCTGAAGACATATTTAACCTGAGACAAGAAATACTGAGAATTCAGCTGGCTCCTTCCTATCCTTGTGGAGTTAGCGCAAAGCCTTCCCTGCTTCTACAACTAACCTGTGGTGGCTCATCTCATGATATAGCTTCACAGGTAAGGATCCTAACTTGTAATTCAGTCTGCTGACCTGGTGAAAAACGGATTTGGCCAATCTAGTGTCATCAAGGGTAGTTCAGGTAGAGATAGACCCAACTGAGAACAAAACAATGTGGCAGGAAATCAGCCTACACACATAGACCCGTGGTTCTCAAACTGGGAAAATTTTGCCGCCACCACCCTCAATGTCTAAAGACATTTCAGATGCAGAACTGAGATGGGGGATGCTACTGGGATCTAGTGGGTAGAGGCTAGGGATGTGGTTCAACATCCTCCAACACAAGACAGCACCCCCCTGACCCCCGAAACAAAGGATGATCCAGCCCCAAATGGCCACAGCATTGATTGAGAGACAAGGGACAGAAGAGAGAAAGGAGGGATAGATATCTCTTTTACAATAGCAAAAAAAGTCGATATCCGTTGACTCAGTATTTCCATTTCCAGGAATTTACCCCACTGACATACCTCACTGTGCGTCACAATGTGCACACAAGAATAAAAAATACAGGATCATGACCTTGACAGAGTGACTGTGGACCATGACGTGCAAGGACTGGGGAGCAAATAGCCCTGCCTTCATGGAACATACACTCTGGCGGGGGAGACAGAGAGTAAACAGACTGAAAGAGACACAAACAAGGTGATTTCAGATACGATTGAGTACTAGAGAGAAAAATCCAGCAGGGGAAGGGAGATGAGGGTCCTTTCTGGGGTGAGGGAAATATCTGTATCTTGATTATGGAGGCAGTGACATGGGTACATTTGCCAAAGATCAACTATTTTAAATGCACAAATGTATTGTAAGCAAATTATACCTTAATAAAGTTGATAAAAAGGGGGGGATTTGACATAAGCAAATAGGGCAGAATATTATTAGCACTTGTCAAATCTGGGAGATGGGTCCCTGGGGGTTTATCACTTTATGTTAGAAATATTTCATTTAAAAACATATTAAACATTTAAAACATGTTTAAAAAAATAAATATTAAAAGAGCAAGCACAAAAACTTAGGGTAACAGAATGGTGACTGATAAGGTGCGCTCAGGGGCCACCATATCTGCCGCGGTGGTCAGGCAAGGCCTCCCTGAGGTGAGGTTTGAGGAAGGCCTGAAGGAAGTGTGGAGGGGAGGGGGACACATGAGCATGGAGGTGGGAAGAGGGAGAAATCCAGGAACACAGTGAAGGCCAGTTCAGTTGGGGTGCGCTAAAAGTGGGTTCTGGAAAGGTCCATGGGAGCTAGAGAAAGCTGGCCAGGGGTTGACCTGTGGGAGTGCGCCCATCCCCAACCCTGCAGGAGACGGTAGAAAAGGAGTGAGGCCAGCTACCAGCTCTCATCGCCTAAGGGGGCCCTCAAGCCCTTTCCAGAGTGGAGAGAGTTGGGCCACTGACCAACCCTCAACGAGACAGCTGTCTGGTGTCATCCCCAATTTTTCTCTTTCTGAGAAGATTGTTTTTTCATCTCAAAAAAAAAGGGGGGGGAGTTCTTTTCTTCCTCCTTCCCTTTGAGGGATACAAGCGGCTGCTCTCTCCGCCCCATTCCAACCCCAACACAAGCCTATCGAGGTCTGCATGATGTATTCTCCCAAGGGAAGTTGTTCCATTGACCCAGTCCTTCTTTTCGGCTGCCTCGCTTTGGGAATGATCAATTTGCAAGAC